TCTTTTGAAGAGAGTCAACTTCCATTTCTATGTGAACCCCAAGTCCAGCACAGATAATGAGCATGCAAAAGGTTTGGAGCCAAGCCACAGACCCAGATATGACACTTCCTTCCGGGAACAGCATAGGCATCATAACCCAAGGTCAGGGCAGCCAAGTCAAGAAATGCAGTCCTAGGGAGCTAACCTATTTCCCCACAGAGAACGTGCTGTCCCCTGCCCTCAGCTGATATCCTGTGATTTGGCTATTTCTGCATTTAAAAAAAAAAAAAAAAAAAACATGTCTTAAAGGCTTAAATGAACAACCATTTATTAATGCACAACTCTGAAATTTTAGCTGGGTTCAGCTGGGCAGTTCTTCTGCTGGTCTCACCTAGAGTCACTCATGTGGCTACAGTCCTCATATAGCTAGAAGTTAGCAGGTGAGGTCAGTCAGGGTGCCTCCCTTCTCCCTGTGGCTCTCTAGCAGCATCACCCAACTTCCCGACCTGGAATGGCAGGTCCAGAGGGAGTAACAGATGAATTTGTGCACTCTTCTGAAGTCTGGGCTTCAGAAGTTACTTATGACATGTTTGTTGAACAAAGCAAGTCTCAGGGCAATTCCAGATTCAAGGAGTAGGAAAACAGACACTACTTGTTATGGTTGGGATATGAGGTGTCTCCCCAAAACTCCTGTGTTAATGCAGATATAATCAATGGTAGATGTTTGGATTATGACAGCAGTAACCTAATCAGTCCTTCTAAGAGCAGGAGACAGAAATTTGATACGCTAGACAGGGCAGGGATTGCCATTGCAACAGTTCCACGTTTCCTATTCCGGCCTGTCCAGCTTCACCTGACAAAGTTTCTAATGAGCTTAATCATTAACAGTATATGAACAAGCAGTGATCAGTGCATGATCAACAACCTGATTGGATAAGGGGCGGAAGTTGACGGAGTGTCTCATTCTGATTGGATGTAGAAACTCCCCTCCCTAAAAGTCATTAGCCAATAGTTTTAAAGGTTATCTCCAGCAACAGTATAAACCTCTAGACCGCCCTACCCGGCTGCAATGATCTTTGGACTCTTGCTAAAATTCCACTTTTTCGGTTTCTCTCACTTTCCATTGTCTGCTTCATTCTTTGGTTCTTTGGATCCTGGTGACAAAGAACTTAACATCTTGCTAAGCCTCACCTCCTGGCTTGAATGGACTGAGAAGGTGTTAACTGTATAGGCAGGTGGGCCTGCTTGGAGGAGGTGGGGTACTGAGGACGTGCCCTGGGTGGTTCCTTGTAGCTGCTTCCCCCTGTCCCCTCTCTGCTTCCTGACCACGCCATGAGTTGATCAGTTTTCCTCCTTGGGGCCTTCTGCCCTGATATGCTGCCTCATTTGGGGCCCAGAGGGATGGAATCGGCCATGTATGAACTGATACCTCTGAAATCATGAGCCTTAAATAAACCTTTCCCCCTCTAAGTAGTTCTCCTAAGGTTTTGGTCACAATGAGCGAAACGTAACTAAAACACCACCTTTTGTTGAGGCTTCAAATTATTTTGGTTGTATTTTTCACTCTATGGCAAACTTTCTAATCTATCATTTGATAATCATCACCAATCAGCCAGCCTGTAGTTATTGAATACCCAAAGACTAGACATGGTACTGGAGGGTGAAATATAATCAACTCTAAGATCCAGTCTGTGTCAGAAAAAGAATGTGAATGACTTATGACATGAGCAAAATATTGCAGGGTCTTTTCAGTGGAATGTTGGGCTTTGTCTAAGGACCCTTAAGTGTAATTGATTTTGAAGAGGACCCCCCCTGCACCTTCTTCTTTTCTTCTGTAAAGGTTTATATATTATGCACAGAAGGAAACTAGTCCTTGGTGTCTGTTTTCTCATGGCAACCAGGACAATGGTCAGCTTCTCTCCAGTCGGCCTGCCATAGATGTCAAACCCAGGGCCATGTGCACTGAGTCAGGCAGTCTACTAATTGAGCTATATCCCCAGCCCCTCACCCTTTTCTTAATGAACATGACAACCAGTTTGACCTTTTGTTTCCTATCCCACAGGAACCTGGTGTGTTTATTTTATTTTTTTCAATGTTATTTTATTTTTTATACCTTTATAAAAATTATTTATAATTTTTTTTTCATGTGGTGCTGAGAATCAAACCCAGTGCCTCACTCAGGCTAGGCAAATGCTCTACCACTGAGATACAACCACAGCTCTTATTTTGTTAATATATTTTTTAGTTGTAGATAGACACAATACCTTCATTTGATTTATTTATTTTTATGTGGTGCTGAGTATTGAACCCAGTGCCTCACATGTGCTAGGCAAGCACTCTACCACTGAGCTACAACCCAGCCTCCTGGTGTGTTTATTTTAAATTTTATTTCTTATTTTAATTGTTTTGGTTTTGTTTCTTTTATGCAGTGCTAGGGTTTCGCACATGCTAAACACACACTCCAGGTAAGGCACCCACAGCAGTAACTATGCCTGGGCTTGCCCATATTCTTGGTAGTCACCTTGTGGTCCTTGCTAAGGCTGATAGCCATGGAATAGTGCAAAGCCATGACTGTTACTCTTTTTTTTTTCTTTTAAGGGGCGGGGGGAGAGAGAGACAGAATTTTTTAATATTTAATCTTTCAGTTCTCGGCGGACACAACATCTTTCTTTGTATGTGGTGCTGAGGATCGAACCCGGGCTGCACGCATGCCAGGCGAGCGCGCTACCGCTTGAGCCACATCCCCAGCCCATGACTGTTACTCTTCAATGCTTTCTGTGACAGAATGGTGGTTGATTTTTTTTTTAAGTTTATAAAAATATTTTAAAGACTTCCAATAGAATTTCAACATCTGACTTTCGGATACACCAAGAAGATTGTCCCTGTGTTCAGTATAACCTTTGATTGTTTTTTACTATACTTTTAGTTCTGTGAGTTGGAAAAACTGATAATAATACAAATGATTATGGATGTAAATGCAAATGAATTTTTTTTTCTATTGATAGGAAAATGGGTTTCTGCTGGGTATGATGGCACACACCTGTAATCCCAGGGGTTCTAGAGGCTGAAGCAAAAGGATGGCGAGTTCAAAGCCAGCCTCAGCAACTTAGTGAGACCTTTAGAAACTCAGCAAGACCCTGTCTCTAAATAAAATATAAAACTGTGGGTTTTTGCCCACATTCTTGGTGGTCAATCTCAGGTACCAAAAAGAAAAAAGGAAAAAGAAAAGAAAAATGGGTTTCTGCCAAGTAGAAAATATGATTATAAATATTCTTTTTATTACCTCCACAGTATTAATCAGTTTTGTACCTATTATGATTGCCTATAAATGTCTGCTCTTCAGATTCTCCTTTCAACCTTTTTCCCCCCAATACTGAGGATCAAACCCAGTGCCTCACACATGCTAAGCGAGCTCTGTACCACTGAGCTACATCTCCAGTCCTCCTTTCAATTACTTTTTTTTTTAAACAATTTCCTCCTAATTGATGAGTTAAATAAATAAAAATTTGATGTGTTTACTTCATAGTTGTGCAAGAGTCATTATTTTACTTCTTTGAACTTTTTTTTTTTTTTTTTGGTAATGGGGATTAAACCCCAGAGCACTTTAGCCCTGAGCTACATCCCCAGTCCTTTTTATTTTGAGACAACTTCTCCCTAAGTTGCTAAGACTGGCCTCAAATTTGCAATCCTCCTACCTCAGGCCCCAAATTACTGGGATTACAGGTGTGCACCACTGAACCCAGTTGAAAATAATCCTATAAGTTTCCTCATCTGTAAAATGGCAATAATAGCAAGCAAGAGGACCTCCTCATAGGATTTTTAGACAGATGAAATTCGATTTGATGTGTATAATTACAGTACTGAACTCATAATAAGTCCTGTTTTTTTGTTTTTTTTTTTAATATTTATTTTTTAGTTTTATTTTTTGGCAGACACAACATCTTTGTTTGTATGTGGTGCTGAGGATCGAACCCAGGCCACACGCATGCCAGGCCAGGGCGCTACCGCGTGAGCCACATCCCCAGCCCAGTCCTGTTTTTTTTTTTTGTGTGTGTGGGGGGGTGGTTTAGATGGGGTCTGTGTTGCCCAATTTGGTCTCAATTTTCCTGCCTCAGCTTTCAGAGTAGCTGGGACTATGAGTACATGCGACTGCACC